GTGCTTCTCGTACCGTAATCCCTTTGTGATGCAGATTAAAATGGATGTGCGCCGGGCTGAACGCGGGCGACTGACTCTGGAGGGGGAAGAAGGCGCATCGGTTGTTGTTTCCACTCAGCACGCTGAATACGCCGCCGCACACCTCCGCGCGATCTTATATCGAATTTACGACAAGACAGATACGGCGTGTGCATGTGTGTTGACAAGCTAGAGTCGCGTGCTAATTTGCCTGCCAGGCGCGCAGCAACCTGACTGTGTTGACGTTGCTAGCAACAGGCAATTGGCGCTGCGCGCCAGCGAGAAGCTCGGGCCTACTAATAGGTGGGTAGTTATTGCGCATGGAGACTTTGTACAGATGCAGGCGGCGTTCAACCTAGCAGGAGATGGTCGGCTGCGAAGGGGTCGTACTTACTTATCCAAGTCGGCCGTTCGGCCGTTACAGCCACTCCAGGCTTCATGCACCCGCTCCCAGCCCTGTTCGGGCATCCTCACCCAGCGAAGACGCCACATGCCCTGCAGCATGTGGCCGTGTCTTGGAGTTTCTTCAGCTCGACGCGGTCTCCCGCGCGTAGCTTTCCGACGTCGGTACTCGCGGGCGGGCAATTCGGGTGGAACTCGCAGAGAAAGGCGATCTTCAGTGAGCGCTCAATGACGCAGGCAATCAGCCCGCGGATCATGTCGCACACCTTGGCGGTGCTGTCCGCTCCGTCAATACGTGGCTCCATGTCAGGGACGATGCGGTGGGCGGTATGTACTCGGCCTGTTACAGTGATTGAGTACGAGTGAGGGAGCAGTTACTTTGGGATCTCATACCATATCTGCAGTCGTAGTGCAAAGATGAGACTGCCCACAACAACAAGCACTGGATAGCATCAAGCGTTCAGTGGGGTCGGGGATCTTGACGACGCGTCACCTCCACTTTAGGTACTACATTCGGTACCGCTGGTCTGCTGGAGCGATGTCCAGCCGTCGCAAGGCAACGCCAGGCGCGCGCCAAATGACTCATGGCGCTGAGACGAGCGATCGGATGAGAAGATCAGCCGAGCGTCCAACTTTCTTCACCGCTTCCGGCCTTTTTTTCTGCCTACTGGACCTTATTTCTCTACTGAACGTGCCGGTGCCTGGACCTTTCAGGTTGATAATCACACTCAACTCCAGCTGCGAACACTCGGGACGACTATAGAGCTCCGGACACTGTTGGCCGAAGATACGACCAATACCCTGAACTAAAGATAGCATTTTTTGTACAGCCTGGACCCTTGCATCACTTTGTTCCCGCCGTCACCATCCACAGCGAGTCAGCGCCGGCCTTGCGAGCAACTCACAGGATATCGTGGCGCTCCGTGGGTATTTTGCTTCGCCTCTGCTTATCCCACTACACTTCGAAGCGCCCCTCAGCGCATCCGTATGCTTCTGTGGATCGCTCTTGGAAAGCCTTCGCTACTAATCTTGCAGCTTCGAGCCTT